AAAATGGTTTTCAAATCAATTTCACAGTAGGCTTACTAGAAAAATACAGCGAATGTAAATATCAATTATTGATAATGATATTGTGTACCTTTATACATGTATAGTTGAGACAAGAGTAAAATATATTAAGTTAATTGTGAGTCAAAAATTTAATACTTATCAAATACAATTCTTAATGGAACAAAGCACAATCTTCAACGAAACAGAAACAATGTACAAGAAAACGGACATCTGCAACTGCTTCATTTTTGTTGAGCAAACATCGATTTCCTGTGTATCTTTTGAGTAATCTTTTTAGTGTCTGCTACATTTTTTTCAATAGCTTTAATCAAACAGGAAGTTCATTTTTGTGATAATTTAAGTTTATGAGTACAATAGTCATGGTATTTATAATTCATTTTAAATCATAGTACAATTTCACTGTAGAATATTAATATACATATATCGTCTCGTTATTTTTTAATCTTCCTATCGTCAATATTGCATGAATAATAAACAACAATATAAACATATATACAAGGCATTTTGAAACGTAATACAGGAAATATCTTACAGACTGCCTAAAGATATCATATCTTATATTGAATTATACATCTAAGAATAAATTAAAAGATGCTTAATTAAACATTTATTTTCTTTTTTTAATTTTATCTGAAATTTTAAACTTCAATTTACGCAATTGTACTGAATTTGCCATATCAACAAGCACTTAATATCATTATGTCTTTCGTTTTGTTAAAACCAAATAATCATCTGTGTGTTTATTTGCTGTTTAACGTCTCCATAGAAGATTGTAATTAGTTAGAGATTCCACTACTTGCCGGTGGAAATGTGCAAATGTTTACCGATGCTTGACATTCAGAACCATTGGGTTTAGTGAGAGGTCTTTTTCGTGTTATGCTGCGACATAGGATGCTTTCATCTTTAGGACTGGTCTCTACGTCCCATAGCTTGATTCAAATCCGCGACGCAAGAATTAGATTCTTACTCCACTACTTCAGGGAAGACATTCTACTGCTGCGCTTTGCGGGTTAGTGTGTTTCTTAATGATATACACTACATCCTTTTTGTAATCCGTCAGAAAATGTTCAGCACGTCCAGTAGTGTCACTAGTTCTTCTTTTATATTCCCAAAGATGTCATCAGGCGATATTGATATTAACTTTGTTTATCGACACTTTTTCGATAGTTTTCGATAGTGTTTTTTTAGTTGGTTACCGCATAATCGACGATTAATTTCATTTGATTCTGTGATTTAACTAAATTGTAAGAATATTACGTAGAAATGATTTTGAAAAATCAAATTGTATTGGTAAAAAACATACACAATGCAATGTTGAGTATTTGCACCGATATATTCATTTCCTTCCTTTATCTAAATTTCGAAAATATCGATCAGTATGATAAAGGCCGTCATAAAATATTTGTATTTCATACCTATTGTTAGTCCATTGTTTATACACTGAACTGACGACGGTTTTGTCCGTTATTTCCTGATCATGACAGGGAGCGCGGGCGGGTGTGGCCGGTCAGCGGGAGGTTCTCGCTCCTCCGTAGCACCTGATCCCACTATTGATTTTCGGGGGTCCGTATTTGCTCTGCTCTTGTGTTGTATTGTTTTGTGGACTTTGAGATTAAATGCTGATCATTATCTCCATATCCTTCTTGTACAAGAGTACAAAAAGAGTTTTCAAAATGAGAATTATTTTAAGTGAATTAAACTCAAAGATTGTTTGTTATTTATACAAGGGTTGCACTAGATTTTGGTAGACCATTTTAATTTGTTTTTCATTAATGTCTCATAACTGTTCTTTGTTTCATCATCTTTCGTCCCTGTTGCCTCAAGTAGTACGCTGTATTTATTGTATTATAAATTAAGGGAAATTTTAAGCCTAACTTTATTCTTCATGATTCATTAAGAAATAACGAAAATGATATTACAAATCTGATTTTTTTGTAAATGTACATGTTATATAGGTCGTTCATTGAATTTGACAAAAACAGACATATGAATCAGGAAGGAAGTTATCAACTTAACCAAACTCTGATAAAACGTCAAATCCGTCAAAGTAAATCAAAGGTAACATAGTTTTAATAATCTAAAGACAGTACAAGTGTAATGAGAGATTCTTGCATGCATGTTGATCTTCTCTTTCGATGCCTTCTAGCTAAGGATGATGAATATGTCAACTGCTTTACTTGAAGGCATAAATTGGAAATATTTTATGTTATGTTTTCATGTTCAAAAGCCTTATCCCTTTCCTCTAACGACACACACTTTCCCAACGCGCTTGTTAGAATACTTGCTATATAACCATTTATAGAATTTATTAGTACTATGTAGATGTTCCTGCACACGTTTTAACGCATGATGTCATTTCAAATCGTCAAAAAATGTTTGGATTCTCGGTCCTCATTTTTGTTCCCTCCAATCTTTGTGACTTTGAGAGTATCAATATTATCATTTTCAGCATTGCCTTCCGGCTTTTTGTCTTTGTCCTCACAAGTTTCCTTTTCGTCCAGATCCTCATACGAATTTTCTTTCATGTCCTCATAATCACACGTTATTCTTTTTAGCTCGACTTTTATATTTGGGATGTCGGTGTCTTCTCTTCTATTTCTCAAATAGGATGGCTTGACCTTTTTCCAGGAAAACTTAAACCCAGTGGCAAGAAGTATAAAAGAAAGAGCAACCACGGCACCAATGAGGATTGGCATTGTTTGTGATTCTGACTTTGATTTGTTTGGTTTATCCATCGTCTCTTTTGCTGGATGTGTAGTTTGATTCGGATTAAGCTTGGATTTTAAATCAGCAATGTTTCTAGCTAAAAAGTCTGCATTAAGACGTTTTTGAATGGGAAGGTGGACTGCAAAAAAAAATAATAAAAGAGCTTGATGTCTGTGACACAAAACTGAAAATTTAACCTCGGGAATATGAAATTCTGTTACAATGCTTTTTTTTTTACTATAGATATTTTAAAATCTAATAATTGAATAGTAAAGGTTTTAAAACGCTAAATTCTACTGTACACAATATATTTCCCACCTTTCCTCTCTTTGCATCCTGTTGAAAAGTCACAATATTCCTCTGTACAGCTGCAACCGTTTTGGCATGCAGGGCCATAACCTGGGTATCTACACGGAATTGAGCAATTGAAACCTATATAACCCAAGGGACATCCTAAAATGCAAGATAAATCCTGATTAATAAAGTAATTAATATTTTGGGTACAGTTTTCTGTCAAGAATTCAATGTATTTAAAAATAAAGCATAACAGAATAAATTTAGATTTATAAAGACATGTATAAATGAAAAGAAAGAAAACGATTAAAAGCTGTACAGGTTTGCAAAGTCATTAATTGTGCATAACTTTGCAATCTTTCTCTTTGTTTCTGCAAAAAAAACCAATACCAGTAGTATGGTATATTTTTAGAAGATGTTACAAAGAGAACAAAAATATGATAATAACAATAAAACGAAGCATTAAAAAGAGATTTGGTATTTCTTAAAACTCCAAACTAGTAAACTATATAAATAGAATAAATTTTCATTACGTACGGTTGGCATCGACCGCTGACTGTATAAATGTTATACAAAACAATAAAATAAAAAAGACAAAGTTTTGTTAGATACATTTTAGATGTGAACGCTAAACTTTATGAGTTAATTTCAAAAAAACATCTGCATAGATTATGTAAATCAATTTAACTTTTATATAGTTCGGTAAATCAAAATAGACCACTTGACTTTTAGTAAAAAGTTCTAGAAATGTACTTCCAAATAAGGGCGTGCTGAGGTTCAATTAGACAACAGCTGATTCACAAGAATTCAATCATATAACCGACTCTAGTTTCATCTTATGAAAGTTCAAAATAATAAAATTTGTTTGTAAATAAGAACATATTAATATTTCCTCAATGATATCAGAGCCGATGACACCAAAAGTAATATTACCTCTCGTAACTATTGAATACGAATTACAAGTATTACTTTACATAGATTTTAGATTAGAGTCTCTTGAACTCTCTGCCTTTTAAACTCAGATGTCGTGCTTCACTCCCTTGTTTTAAAAAGAAACTTTAAATACACCTGGCCTTATCGAGCTATTTTAAATTTCTGATTTAAAAAAAAAATAAACATGGTTTTACAATAAGATAGTGACATTATATTAAATTCTAAATCACAGAGACAAATCTGTATTTTATTCATAATCTGTTTGGAATATTTGCAATTCGTTTGATTTGATCGATTTTAAGTCGCACTTATTTTTCACTCATATGGAGACTCAAACACTTGCGGTTGAGGGCTGCAAGTATTTTTCTATACTCTGCATTCAGGGCAAATTAACAAGGAGAAATCTTTTTCATGCCAGCACATACTGCGACTAGGATCTTCGGTTTATAAGTCTCTTCAGAAGGATTGGTCTCCACGTCCCACGGTGGAATTCAAACGTAAGGATTAACTCCTTATTCCGCTCTTAGACTAATCACTGCGCCTCGCGGTCTACTATATTTGAAGTGTAAAGCGATTTAGAGGATTCAAATTGACACCGCCCTATATAAACTTTTTTTTTATTAACAATCAGAACATAGTTCCACACAGATATCTTTTGAGGGTTAAGATATACTGTTAAGAAAATGACCAACATGGGTAAAGCAGCAGGTAAGAGTTTTAAAAAAATAAACAACAAGTATAAAAAAAAAGTTTTTACATACTTATATAGCAGTATCTAAATTGGAGAGCCATCCATCGTCGAGTAAACAGGTGCAGGACATTAAATCAGACGAAAAAGAGATAAAATAAACTTCATGAAATAATAAAAAAAAGTTAATGTCATTTTCCAATTTCAATTCCTTTCGCTGAGGACTAAAGTCATATGATATAACTTATCAATTTCAAGGAAACTAAAAGAAGGAAAAATCATACCTTTTATGATAAAAAAGGAACCAAGTCAATTGACATTGTTTTACATATATTGTTTTTTCTTTAACAGCTCTGTGAAGTCAATGACTTATATTTAACTTTAAAAGTTCACCTTTTGATGGAAAAAGTTTTAAGTATGCATATTGTCATGATCCATAATGTTTCAGGATATTGTCACAAAATCATAACATTTCTATAAACTTTTTAAGGATGTCTCCTCCGCTAATTGTTTTTGGATTGATGAGGGAGAGGACATTTATTTCAAGCATACTTCTTTGTCTCTCGACACTGTTCTGATTTGGCAAAGTACAGCTTACATTAAAATTCCTTTTTGTCTAAACTCAAATTACAACAAAGCATAGAAACTAATAATCTACTTGTACTTCTGCTTTATTCGTAAGGTTTTTCATTGATAACTCAGATAGTATATGCAATGGCAATTTGTAAAACGCATAGTATTTATCTCGTTGAAAACAAATAATGTAGGAATTTCAAATAATTTTTAATATGTTAATGTAAAATGTTGAAACCCATTTGGATTGAATTTTATTTCTCCATCAACCCGCTGCGAAATATTGAGTAAATATAAGAGGTTAAGATAACGAACAGTGACCGATCTAAAAGAAATATATGAAAACTACCACGAGATGTTAAGCATGTTAGGTCTAAGGGGGCGTGAACCTCAGTCCGTTAGAAAGTTCTTGAGGTAAAATCAGGTGTCTGCCTAGGAGGAGTGCATGTAGCAATTGTAAAAGTAACTGAATATTTCTTGTAATTGGAAACTTTTTGAAAAGACACGATTTTTTAAGCCCGAAGCTTTCATTAAAGGGATATTATAGCTTTTGTAGATAAAAAAAATATTTTGTAATTAACAGTACATATTATCGCAGCAAAACATTTCAAGCCAGTGTTATAAGGATTTCTTCCCGAGTGTGATTCACTCCGAAGGAGTCACCCTCGATGTAATACCCAACACACATTTTTTTCTGCTCTCGGTAAAATTTTGTGTCAGCGAGGTCTTTGAGCCGGAGGACATACTGTAAACCAACTTTTATTCGCGACGACTTTATTTCGCGATTTACCGAGGTTAAACTTGTTCGCAAAAATTTCTCGCACGCGAATAAAAGTTGGATAACAATATATTTTATAAAAGAAAAGGTAATAAAGGATTCTTTTTTCTAATTCATTCTTTCGCAAACTATCTTTTATTTTCTAAACTTTGAAAAATGTATTAATTTCATATGCCTTTGCCAGTGATAAGAAACATCATATTTTCTTCAGGCAGAAGTTATCTTGGTCTCCACGAAGTTCAATATTTTTGATTTTGGAATTATGATTGGTATTAAGAGCCACTCTCTGTAATGATTTGAAATTTTATATAGGAGCTGTGGCACGCATAATCTCAGAATTTCTTCAAACTCTCTATGATAAAATTCATTGATACCCTAAACTGAAATCAGGTAAAACTTGGTTGCTATGTTTAATAGTTACCATGGCAACATGTCTTAAAGTTCGAAAAATGGCATTTTTAACATGTTTAGAGCCCCATAGTTAACATTTGCGGCAAAGCAAACAATTGGCAATGACTGCTTCCAAAAGTTGAAGCTCAGATGTCTCAAATGCATGGTAAACATGTTTGGTAAATCAACTATACGTTACTATGGTAACAGAATATTCAAAAGTAAAAAAAAAATAGTCATTGAATTTTATAATGTCATACACGTAAAAATAAAAGCATTATGAAATGTGACCAAATAATAGAAAAAAGAGCCTTGAAACATATACGAAGAACAAAATATGATATTTCATTTTGGTTTGCAATGGTTGCCAAAGTTTTTATACCACAGAGAGCCTTTAAAGTAACACTCTGTATGTTTAAATCTGATCCTATCTTTTTAAAAAAGCACATTTCCTCATAACTAATGATGAATTTTATAAGTTGATGGTGTGCTCCAAGTTTTCTCAATTGAAAAAAAATCAGATTAGATTCTTTGAATTCAGTGTTGCTATGGAAATAAGCAGGAAATATATGCATAAAAACCTGAAAAATATTTCCTTTCCTTGGATACGTACCTTTAAATGTAGATTCCCAAAACTTTTATGATTGATTTTTATTAACAGCTAACTTGACTTTTAATTTTGACTATCATCCAATCTCTAAGTGGATGCAAGAAGTTGGCACACAGGGTTTAATATTGAAATAAAGTTCACAAAATCTAACATTTTCCCTTCTTGGTAACCATAGCAAAAGTGTTGTTTTATTCATCAAATTTTATCAGTATATGATATTCAACTTCAGTTCTAACAGATAAGTACTATTCAAGCTGAGTCCTTTGATTTGTTTCTTGATTAAATGGCAATTTAATTCTTAATGCAGCGAAAAATAATTCACTTTTAAGCATTGGTAATTTGTTTCCATGGTAACACTGCAAAGTAGCAATTAAACCCAATTTTTCTTATGGTTTTGGTGTTCCAAGGTTCTAATGATGCATACTTGCCAGTCTTGAATTTTCATGTTTTTTCTCAAGACAGTAGCATTAACCCAGTCTTAGCGACTGGTTTTGCATGGTTACACTGTGTTACTATGGCAACCATAAAAGTTATTTATAGAATAATATTGCTTATACTTATATACCTAAGGTCAAACATTTTCATTGTTTTTCTTAAGTCGTTGATTGAGTTTGAGTATGTAACACCTACCGTTAGTTTTAACTGAGTGTTTTTCAGCATACTTTAGGATTTTAAATGTATTCCAAATATACCCTTGGTTACCACTTACTTAGAATTATATTCTAAACAGTTTCTTTACAGTATAGGTGACATCAAGTTGTCATGTTTTTGTGAGAATGGTTTGTTTGCTTTTTTCTAGTTTTTATTAAGCCACAGGCAAGATTTTAAGTGGCTGAAAATCTTGATTTTTCAAACTTTTCCGGCTGTTGCCATAGCAACCGAGACACATAGCAACAACATTTTGTTCGATATTCGTTTACGGTGTTAAGTTAGCATGGGTGAAGTTTCATCAAAACCGGTGACCATGCGTGGCAACGAAGTTTAAGTGGTTACAGAGAATTGCTATTAACATGTAGCTATAACTGTAAAGGAAGTAATTGTATAATAATTCTAAAAAAAAAAAATAAAATAAATCATCTTATTTTTAATTTACTCTCTTATGTGTATAATTTAAAAACCAAAAACATTTCGGACATAAATTGCGTCACGCCTCCTATATAAATCCCTCACAGCGTAGCCTGAGGTCCAAAGAGGAAGTGTATTTAAAAGAAGTGTTCATTTGGAATGGAATAAAAGCTAAACCCATTTCCCATCCATACTACAGGTTCACATGTATTCAAAATTTCTTGCAGAAACAGTTAGTAAAAGAATCATCGGTAGCATTTTATATAAAACTAATGCATGGATCGAGAAAAACATGAAGTTGACAATGACGATTCATGATTCAAAATGACACAAATACACGGAATAAAATTTCTGTTACAGGCGCGTGGGTCAAATTTTTGGTTATTTTTTCCATTATTTCCTGATCATAACAAGGAGAACACGGCGAGTTTGACCGGTCGGCAGGGGATGCTCACTCCTCCATTGCACCTGATTCCATCTCTGATGTTTCGGATGTCTATGTTTGCTCTGCTCCTGTTTTGTATTGTTTGATGGACTTTGAGATTGAATGCTGTTCGTTATTTCCATATCCTTATTGTAACTAGATTTTGATTCATGAAGATTTTATCATCGTACATGTATGTATCATTCACAGAAAACAGTGTTTCTTATTAAACTTCGATACACGACACATATTATTGGTGTCCTTTTTTGACAACTAAATAAGCTAGGAACCACTCAATCTTCTATTTTAAATTACATGTACATGTGTTTAAAATACACTTGACCTTTAAATTTACAACCATATCTACATTACCAATAAAAATATGAGATATTTTGCTGTAAAAAAGTATCATCTATTTATTCATCAGTATAATCACTGCATGAAAAGTCGGGTTTAATTTTACCTTAAATGCGATTTAAATGCTGCGATTATTTAATGTTTAAATGCATAATATAACATATTGTGGGATCGTAAATGTTAGAAAATAATTAGCATTTAATACGAGTTTAATGAAAAATTAAAAGAACAAATTTAATAAAGTTTGGAAAATTGTAAACTTACTAATACGTTCGGATTTAAGTCTGCCGTAAACAAGTATTATACCTCTAATATACAAAACGTATAATTATTATTAAACATGGCCATAAAATAAAGTTTTATGGTCATATTAAATTTGTTCGTTTAATAAAATTTAACGTAGATCTTTACCTCATTATTTTTTGTTAAATTCACACTTTACTTTATAATACTTCCAAAAATTACGTTTTATATGGAAAATTGTAAACTTACTTATACGTTCAAATTTTAATCTTTCATAAACTAATATTAAATCTCGTGTATAAGTGATGAAAATGTACGGATTAAACCTTCCCATATCATTAAGATTTAAAGTTGTATTTGATGAAATTTACTATTATTATATTATTGCATAATAATCTTATTTTATATTTATTCCATCAATAATTTGTATGGTTTACAATTGTGGGTTTTTTTGGCAAGTATTTTACAATCATACACAAATGCATTTCTCATTCAGTTTTATTAGATGTTATCTCAATAGTCTACAAACAATGAGTTCTAACAAAGTACAAGATATTTCAAATTTATGCCTAAAAGTCAGAATTTAAAAATTTACAATCATGATTGTAGCTCAATTATAATGGAGTAAATTTCTACATACTAGTAGTAAGTAATATACTGAAGTAATTATAAATAATTTAATATAAGAATAGAATTGTATGTAAAATTCAAATCCGTAATAAATCAGAACACAACAGGTCAAAAATGTAGTCATTCTGGACTCCAAAAGACTGCAAAATCTGACTGAAACTGCCCCTATTAAAACTGCTGCATGGGTTGTAAATGGCTTTTCAATTTCCCACAATAAATTATATCATACTTTGCATAAAAAGAATAAAAGTTGCCAATAAAAGTTGCCCATTCGTTTTACATGTACATTTAATAAGACACACTAAGCCACTGACAGAGAAGCCTCACTCGCCCACAAGCAACAGCAAAAGGATCGGTCAGAGACACCACCTTTCTCTTACTTGGGTATCAAGATCTGCAACTTACTGCCAGCAAAGCTCTTTCAGACCACCCTTATATTGTTTCCCAAGTATTTCCACAATAGATGTCCATGCACTAATTATTCAAGTTCGACTTGTAAAATACTTAATGTTGACTGAAAAATACAACACCCAAAAAAATCCTTTATAACATTTGGTTATGTCAATTCAAATTAAGAAAAAAGTATCACAATTACACAAAACAATAGCAGCTTAAAATTGTTTCCAAAACATGTAGCTCATTTCTGTTCCAACTGCTAGGTTTATTGCTTGATGATTGTAATTTAACATATCCTCATTAAATCAACTTTACATTGGAATGCAAGACATTTCAATAGTGATATTTTTAACTTTGCCTTAAAATATCAAGAATGAGCTCTGAAACATGCACATATAAAAGTCCTGTATTAACAGTAGTATATTTTACAAATTTTTTTAAGCCTTAATTACTATTCCATTTTAATGGAAAAGATTCTCGTCATAAACTGTCTTACTTCAACTGGCAGGAAACAAATTAATATTTTACTCTTGCAATTCTCATTACTCTTTCAATATCAATTGTAATATTTATTAAAATCAAAATTCACCCCTTTTTTTTACTTAGAAATGTCTCTACCTCATTTGCCTATTCTATTTTTTACATCTATGACTCACTAAGGCACTGACAGAGAAGCCTCACTCGCCCACAAGCAACAGCAAAAGGATCGGTCAGAGACGCCACCTCTCTCTTACTTGGGTATCAAGATCTGCAACTTACTGCCAGCAAAGCTCTTTTAGACTACCCTTGATTGTCTTATTTTTTTTCCACAATAATGTCCATGCAGTTATTATTGAAGTCAGACTTGTACATATATGTAATATATAAATCAAGATTAAAATGTATGTGATTGCATACTACACAACAAACCAATAAATGTTTAAACAATAAAAACATGACAGTTTCAATCTGTAATCAAGCATCAGAAAAAAATTTCACTGTCAAAAATACAACACTAGGTATATTTTTTTTCTTATCTAACATTGAATGTGTCAATTAAAGATAAGTAAAACAAGCATCACATTTGTGCAAAAAAGTAGTAACTCAGATATTTCATCTCTAATAGCCCATCTCTGTTCAATTACTACATCCATAGGGTTGACTCTTTTTGATTCTTTATTTGTCCTAGTTCTCCTTATGCTCTGCCTTTTAGAGTGCTTTGATTTGAGAGTTGCACTTTTGGTGTCCTGTTCTTTGAAGACTTTCTCACATTCATCAGAACGCAACTTCAGTTTTCTAATTTCATAGATAGTATTATATTTAGAATCATTTTTTGTACCATGAAGACGTAATCAATATTTAAAACTGCTTCTTCTTGCTTTTTCTTCTCTTCATGCCAAGAAGTTTTCAGCTCTGGAGAAGCACATCTAGCTCCTAATTTCTACAACAAACATAAAAATAAATACCCATTTGCCTACATATACATATTATATGTGTGCTTCCGGATTTATGCAATTGCATATATTAAATAGTACACAAAATCTGAGTTGATTGTAAAATTATCAATTGACCTAGAGGAAACAAAGCTCAATTTTGATTAATTAAAATAATTACAGAGGACCACAAAAGATATGCCATTTTTTCAAGTCTGGGTAATAAAGACAGATAATTATCTATAATTTCAGGCAAGCGATCGAGCTACAGATTATGAAGCTAATGTTGTTATACATGTAAATTGGGGATTATTGATTTTTTCGCCATCTTTTTTTGTTTTTGGAGCATTTTATTACTATGTTTACCTGCTTGACCTTGAACATGTGAAGTGCTCTTTTCTCTGCTCCTCCGAAATATATTTTTTTTTCATTTAGCAGCAAGATACTATGGATATGGTAAAAAGCTGTCACAAACAAAATATGAAAAATTAATAACAGGTGTGGCTCTCCGTAGACAGAATATACAAAAAAGGAGAAAAAAATATACAAATAGGGTATACTTATGACTAAAGCAAGAAGATAACATTTTACACAATGAAAAAAATTCTCTGTGTCATCTAGGTAAGTGAATTACATAAAAAAAAACATATAATTATATGTATAGATTAAATTTATAGACAACAAAATATGATATGAAACATGCATAATGGTACCGTAGTCCGAACACATGGAATTTGAAGATTTACAAAGTTTACGAAAATGAAAAGAATAGCATTTACAGCATTTAATATATTAAGACATACGTATCTATATTTTAACAGCAGCAAGCTACAGATTTTGTGGAAGTACATGTAAATTGGGGACTGGTGACTTTTTGCCATTTTTTTTTGAGCAATTTACCAATGTATTTACCTGCTTGACCTTGAATATGTTGAGATGCAAAGCCCTTTTCTTTGTGTTCCTCCACGATATTTTATTTAATGTTACAGAAAGATACTATGGATAAAAAAATATGAAAAATTAAAAGCATGTATGGCATCTCGTAGAAAAAATATACAAACAGATGTATTTATGATTAGAGCAAGTAGATAACATTCATACAATAATAAAATCCTTAATCTTTGTGATCTAGTTCAGCGAATTATTTCAAAAACATATTATGATATGTATTAGATTAAATTTAGAGACAACAAAACATGATATGAAATGGATGTACATACCGGTACTCGGAACACATTGAATTTAAGAGTAAACAAAAATGCAAAGGTTAGCATCTACAGCATTTAACATGCAAGTTATTGGGATAATGAGCAAGTGATTTATTTATAAAGTAAAATATATTTAATTTAACAACTTACACTGTAGATAGCAGGTTTTTAAAGTGGACAGCAAATGCAAAGTTCTAGTAAATGGTGGCAATCTCATACACAATAAGTCGTACAACAAATGATTACTTCGTACCTCATACTGGGTAGCCAAATATCTGGTCAAGTAACTTTCAGAAGGAAGGCTCAGCAAGTTCAATGTTGATCATTCCCATAGCTACTTCAAACTTTTCTGGCACAATTTCTGAAAGAAAAGATGTATCTTGCAGGATTTTTTTGTTCAAACTAGGATTAATTCTCATGAATGTAAAAATTTGAAAAGTTTATATATGACAGACAAATAGCAGACACAGATAAGAAAACTCGTTCGGGTCTTAAAATGGCTCAGGTGAGCTAAAAAAATCAATTCATGTGATTTTATTGATCTTATCAGAAAATTTAAGAAATCTTTCTTCCTACTGCTTTTGTCATTTCTTGTGATCATTCCTGTAAATAATGCATGCATAATTGTGCATCATAGAATATGATAGCTATTTTTAATAATTCATGCTTAAGTATTTAACGTAAAAAAAAAATTATGCATAGCTCAGAATCCATTGCTATTGTATTTTTAGGATAAGGAAAATAAGAATATAAACCTCGTCTTGTTTACTTGGTGTATAGCATTTCAAGCTGTTGCAATATTTTTTATAGTCTTATGCTTAAAGATACAGGTTGATAAAACATTGTTAGTTTATTTGTGTTAATTGAAAATTTGAGCTGCATGGTTCTCACCATTTTCACAAGCTGTCTACATAGCCGGCGATGTGGGGAATCGTCTCAGGGACAGTCCACTGCAACTATTTAAATAATCAAAATAAGTGCTGAATATATTCTTGAGTATGCATAATAAATAAATAAATATTTTATTACATTGTACAACATACTCTGTAAATGCTGAACAGAGGAACACTTTAATGACTAAAATTCTGAAACCAATACCAAACGAGAAAATTCTGGTTAAAATCCAT